GTAAGGGGGATAGAAATCTGGCTAGACTGTCAGGCCCAATGGGTAGCGATCAATGGCTTGATGTCTGGTGGAGGGTTGGTATCAAGAGGAGTGCCCCAAAGGTCAGTTCTAGGGCTGGTTTTGTTCAAAATCTTTATTAATGACCTGGATAAGGGGATAGATTGCACCCTCAGCAAGTTTGCAGTGACACTAAGAGGGAGAGGTAGATATGCTGGAGGGTAGAGACAGGGTCCAGAATGACCTAGACAAACTGGAGGATTGGGCCAGGAGAAATCTTGTGAGGTTCAACAAGGACGAGTGCAAAGTCCTGCACTTGGGACAGAAGAATCCCAAGCACTACAGGCTGTGGAGCAACTGACTAAGCAGCAGTACGTCAGAAAAAAACCTTAGGATTACAGTGGACAAGGGCACACCGTTGACTCGTATCCAGCTTCTCAAAGACAAGAAGGCTAATGGCATTTAGGGTTTATTAGGAGGCGCATTACCAACAGATCTAGAGAAGTGATTATTCCCCTTTATTCAGCACTGGTGAGGCCACATCTGGAGAATTGCATCCAATTCTGTGCCCCACTCCCCCCCCCCTCCCCATCACAGAAAGGATGTGGAAATATTGGAGAGGGTCCAGCAGATATGACCTTCCCTAGCCCAGCAAAATCCCTCATCCGGGAACAGTTAGGTCCCAAGGGTGCTGGACCAGGAAGGTCCAACCTGTATTTGATTTGTCTTTTAGAAATATATTTACAATTTTTTATATATTAATGTTGACTTGCTGATTTCCAGAGGCTGTGAACTGTTTGCAACATATAATTTTCCTAGAGTTTGTATGATTATAGGTAAGAGCCATTGTTGTAGGTCAAAATTCAAGAAGTATGAATTAGAGCTACCCTTGCCCATATCCTGTTAACCATGCTGGGGGTAGTCAGAAATGCCTTATTTGTTATGAAAATTCAAATGGCACGCAAGGAAAAGCCCAAGAAATTGACTGAGAAATCCCCTGTGCTGTTAGGTCATTATAATATGCAACCCTTGTTAGAATAATTACATAGATATAGTGTAAGTATACAGGAAGCATTTCCCTAAATACTGAGGGCATGTCTACATAGCAGGGCAAAACTCAAATTAAGCTACACAACTTCAGCTATGTCAACCGTGTAGCTGAAGTTGAAATAGTGCCAAAAGCCAAATTAAGCTGTCTATACAGCAGGAAGTTGAAGGAAGAGAACACTCTTCAGCTTCCCTTACTCCTTGTTAAATAGGAGTCGGAGTAAGAAGTCCTCCAGCTTGCCATCATTTTGAAATAATGGCTTGCTGTGTGGAGACACACTACGTTATTTTGGAATGATGTCAGTTATTCTGAAATAACGCTGCTGTGTAGATATACCCTGAGGTATTATAAGTATATCCCAACTCCTCATTCTATTTTGTTCCTACATTAACAAAAAAAGTTAGTGAGCTCCCCCTAGTGACATAGGCACACTAAAAGCTACATATTACAGATTAACAAACATTCAGGAAAATACTTCATAAAATACTTTGCTCCTGATAACTAAGCATATTTTTCTGTAGAAGTACTTTACTGTAATAAGAAGAGTTTATTATGACCTGGTTGCATTGGATACAACAGGTTTTTTTAGAAGTTTAATTAGTCTGCAAGCTCAATAGCAAATCAGTAAGGTTCCACTTTGTATTCAGTATTACATATAAAAAACCCTACTTGAAAATAAAAGTTATGATTCAAAGAAAGTGCAAAGTCAAGCCTCCAAATTAAGACGTGACAAAATTAAGACTGCCTGTGCAATCTTAATTTGGCCTCTTTTAGTATGTAAATTATGATGGAGTTTTTAATTACATCAGTACATACAATTATTTCCATCCTACCTCATTTAGCATGCAGGATGAATTGTGTACAGGGAATGGATAAGCGTTGTCATGCTAATCATGCTCTTATCTGCTGGATTCCTGCCTCATTTGTTGCAGAAGTTGGAACTGCCTCATTCACTTCACAGGACAATGTAAGAAGAGAATGGCTGTTTTCAAGGTTTAGACAAAGTAAAATGCCACCTTGGAGAAATGGATTCTCTCACAGGTCAATGGTAACTGTGCCCTGATTATATAAAACTTCTATAAAATACTACATTTTCATTAAAAAAAAAGTCAGCCCCTGGGCTTCTTAAATTGTACACCAAAAATTAGTGTACGTTAATCTCTTTGCCTTTATTCCCCATCTGTAAAATCGGAATACTACCATCTAACTTCATAGGAATTCAAACACTCATTAACATTTGAGAAGCACTCTGATGAATATTTTTATCCTCAGAGCAAGGTTTGAATAGCATTCAGTAATTAAAGCATGGGATTACATTCTGCATAATGGCAAGAATATTAAATCCAATAGGGGCTCTTCAAGTGAATACTGTCCGCTCCATGCACTGAATTGAGTAGGGTTACCATGGAAAAAATAGTATGTCATGTAAAGATTATCATAACATATGTAAACAGTCTAGGCAGCCCTAAACGTAGCTAAGGCACTTATATAACCAGAATTACTGCAGAATCTGAGAGCTTCTTAGCACTCCTGAAAGGTAGGGAAATACCACTATTTCCATTACCCAGGAAATCTGTGAAAAGCAACAACTGGACAGAGGGTCTGACTTCCTGGTTACACCCAACCCAATGGAGAATTCTTTCTGGCATTTCCTAGCTGCCGAGTGATTCAATTTTGAACCTTAATATTCTTTTTGTAGATCATGTTTGTAATTTCCTAAGTTTTCAAAAAGCAAACTGGAAAAAAAATTCCAACCAACCTGTTGCATTACAGGAAACCCAAGTGGTCACCAGTAAATTGGGAACCTTTAGACCCACACATGTATCTGCCACTTGTAATTACAGCAGTGATAGGATGTCACCCTGTATATGCACTCTCTTCTAGAGGGAGAGGAGGCAGTTTGCACTGCTATTTGTTGACAACACAGGAATTCGAGATTTAGTCCATGTTTTGAGGAGAGTGTACAAAAATGGTTAGATCCCCATCTCCCCTCCCCCACACTAGATCCTACTCCCCTTGTCCTTCCTGTCTGTCCTTGTTCCACTTTCCCCACCAGACATGCAGCTTCCTCTGAGACTGCCTGCCCCATCCTTCCTTAGGCCTAGCTTCTCACCCCTCTATATTACAATATGACCACTGACCCCACCTCACTGCATAGACAGAGCACAGGAAAGAAAATACCCCTATTCTCAGTTCCTCTTCCCAACACTTGGTTGCTGGAAGGAGGTACTCTAGGGAAATCTTGCTCCAGCAGAGGGCTGCTGTGTTGAGAATGTTCAATATTTTCTCCCCAACATTGTGGAAAGCAGCAGCACAATTTTTGCTAACATTTTCCCAAAATAGCCGAGACAGATATCCAACACAGAAATGTCAGCTGAAACAGCTATGCCTGGCAGTATTATAAGCAGATAAAATGGGGTTACAGGCAGTCCCCGAGTTACGCGGATCCGACTTATGTCGGATCTGCAGCTACGAACGGGGCCCTCTCCCTGGTCTCCAGCAGACCAGGGAGAGGAAGCAAAGCGGCGGAGCACGCGGGCAGCGGACAGCCCAGACGCGTGTCTGGGCTGTCTGCTGCCCGCGTGTTCCGCCGCTTTGCTTCCTGTTG